TTGACGAAGGGTAAAACCAACAAAATACTGTTTAACATTCACAAATGTGATTTCCTATAAACTGGATTAAAAATTCAGTTTCATGGGGTGCCTGGGTAGCTCAGTTGTTAAGCATCTGCCTTCGGCTCAGGTCATGGTCCCAGAATCCTGGGATCGAGGCCCGTGTTGGGCTCCCTGCTTGGTGGGAAGCCTGCTTCTCCCTCTCCCACTCCCCCTGCTTTTGTTCCCTCTCTCGCTGTGTCTCTATCAAATAAATAAAATCTTAAAAAAATTCATTTTCACAAGAATAGAGTAATAGTGACCCGCATCATCAGTGGTTCAAATAAAAAAGATCCAGAACTTTTTTTTAAGATTTTATTTATTTGTCAGAGAGAGAGAGAGCACAAGCAGAGGGAGCAGCAGGCAGAGGAAGAAGCAGGCTCTCCGCTGATCAAGGAGCCCAATGCGACACTCGATCTCAGGACCCTGGGATCATGATCCAAGCTGAAGGCAGAGGCTTAATCAACTGAGCCACCCAGGCATCCCAAGATCTAGAACTTTTAATTGTTCCCAAACTCAGTATAAATGATTGGAGTTACATGAGACAAAGCATAGGGAGAACTTATGTATGTTTAATATCAATCTTGTGGCTACTTCTAGGACCTATCAACTACCATTTATTATGAGTCACTATGAGTAAGCCACTTACCCTTGGTTTTCTTACATTTCAGTTGAAATTAATAATAAATAATGTAAGAGAATATTGTGAGTATAAAATGAGATAGTTCATGTGAAAATAATATGAGCAATAGCTTTAATTTGTAAATGCAGAAAAAGCTAATGCAACATTAAATTTGTTTTAGTAAAGGCAGACCACCTGGCCAAATGAAGCAAAAGTCACAGAGGGCAACTGTTAGAGCAACTGATTATAAATTCTTTGAGGGCAGTGATTGTGTCCAATTCATTTCCCATTGTCTGAAGCAATGCCAAACACCTCTTTCATTCTGAAAAATATATATATTATAAAAATAAATTGGCTTGGAATATTGGATCTTGTGGGAGTCACATTTTAAGAGAGAAAGTAAAATTTCAGGTTGAATCTAGAGGAAAGAAACCAAGATGGAGAGATATTTAGAGACCATTATATGAAGAGTAATCAAAATAACTGAATATATGTAGCTGGGAAAAGATATATTTATATCCAAAATGTAAAAAACAATGTATATTGGTAATTTTCCTGTGAACACAGGTATCAGGAACAATGAAAGAGGCAGAGAAGGTTAGTGGCTAAAGGAAGGTCATGTTTTCCTCTCTTAACAGCTCAGTAAGATGATCAACTACGCAGGCTCAGGAATCTTATAGAGCTTCATTTTTGTGCTTTTTCCACACCTGTGTTCCTCTGGACAAGTTGTTCATTCCAAATCTCAGCTTCCTCTTCTTAGGTCCATGAGGATAATCATTATACATACTGAAACCTGAAAGGTTTCAGGACAGCTCCCCCCTTCCCTGCCCCCAAACATGCCACTTGGGCATGTAGATTATTTTGATCTGAAAGCACTTGAGACCCTATGGGCTCAAGAGAAATTTTGTACTCCCTAACCACACAGAAGAATCTAAATTGGGGGTATTTCCCAGAATAAGTGTTATTAGCAGAGAGAAATTTTATCCGAGTGACCCATCTGAACTGTAGGACAAGTACCTTACTGCCAAGCATCTACTGTTCTTATGGTCCTGTGAAGTGTATTTCTTTCCTCTGAAGTCCCAGAACCACACCCCCTTCTCTTTAGTTCAGAATGACATCCATTCCTCATTTTGCCTGTCTTTGGAATTTACATGTTAATGTGGGTTCTCTGTGTGTGTGATGCCTATCAAATGTGATGTTCTCCTGCTAATTTGTCTTATGCCAATTTGACTTAGTCCAGCTGGAAGGACTTTTGAGGGGGCTGGAATTCTTGCTGCCCAACACTACTTTTTAGGGGTATTGTGGGAAAAAAAATGAGGATGTATGGCAAGTACTTTTTCATTGCTGGAAAAATGCTAAAAATATGTTAATTACCCACTCTCCCCATGTTCCAAAACTGCCACAAGGGGCCGCTGGAGAACCTTTTGGAAGAATTCAGCAGTCAGAGTTGGGCACGGGGCAAGTCTCCTTAAATTTTGTTTTAACTGACGTCAGCGCTAAATATGTTACGTGACCTTAGAAGGATTGTTTGTAAATACAGAATATTTACTTATTTTCAGAACTGATTCTGGATGGTAGAGGAGTGAAGAGGCAAAGTTTCCCCAGGGGACTGGGCATGGTGGCTCCCAGCATCCTTTTTCATTCCTTCTCCCTTTGGCAACCCAGGCTGCTGGTAATCAAGACCTACACATGGCTCCCTGGCCAACTGTGAAATCTTGCATCCTGTGTGTTTCACACTGCTGGGAGATTACTTGTCTTCTCTGAGCTGAGAAAATTGTTTGTTTTTTTAATTAGATATAGTTTTGGGAGGTTCAAAATGTGATATTGTTACAGGTTTCAGGAAATTATATACTTAAGCATTTTATATCTAATAAAATTTAATTAATTCACATTGTAATCTAACTTTCCTTTTCTAACCCATAGGAAGGTATCTTTAATTCCGAAACATTAGACACTGGGAACTGGGAATAGGATAGGAGGAAAAATATTTTGGGGCAGAAAGAAATCTTCCTGGAATTCATCAAGTCATATATTTGACAGATCATTCAAAATAGCTCTCACCTGTTCTGTTGCCAAGTTGATGATAATAAAGAAAGGGACCTTTGGCTCTTTGATATTAAGTCCCCAGTCAGGTACTCAAATAGTGACAAATTTATTATTAAATATTAATTTGTTACAACTTCACATTTCTTCCTTAGGTTAAAAAAAATCTACCTGGGTGAAAAAAATGCCAATGGAATCTGTATATGAACCTAGAGTGAACAACAATAAAAAATACATCTTCAGTTAAGACAGGAATAACCACCTTATATCACCCTCTCAGGAAAAGCTAGAATGTTTCTAATGAACAGTTGTTAGTGTGCGAGGAATGTGATTCAAGCTGTTTTTCCAGTTTCCTCTCTGTAAGTTCCATGTCCTGTATAAGGACCAACATCTCCATCCCTAGCTCTGATTGTGTTTGCATAGTTGAATGAATAGATTTTTTTTATTCAGTATTTGTGCAATCTGTTTGCCAAACTTGTCTCATCCTAGGATTCATTTGGGTCTCCTGTTAAAAATAGGTTCCTCTCCTCAAGAGATTTTGATTCAGTAAGTCCGGTCTGGTGTTAAGTATCTTTATTTAATTCATCTATTTGGTGTTAAGTATCTTTAAAAAACTCTATGGGTGTGTATTATAGTCATATACATTTGAAAAACGTGAGGTTAAAAAATCTGTTTTGGCATAAAATTCAGTTCAGACTGGCAAAAAGCCCATGTGCTAGATGTCATGCCTTCCCCCTAACTGGTTGGCTTCTAGGCAGAGCCCTTTGGATGGTGTCTGCTGATACCAGAGTCTGCTTTTAGCATATTAAACCTTTTGCTTCTTCTTCTTCTTTTTCTTTTAAGATTTTATTTACTTATGACAGAGATAGCGAGAGAGGGAACATAAGCACAGGGGAGCTGGAGAGGGAGAAGTAGGCTCCCAGCTGAGCAGGGAGCCCGATGTGGGATTCGATCCCAGGATGCTGGGATCATGATCTGAGCCAAAGCAGACGCTTAATGACCGAGCCATCCAGGCGCCCGTAAACCTTTGGCTTTGGGCTAGAGTGTTCTCACCTGTTTGATCCTTCACTTAGATGTACCTGATATACACTCCTAAAGTTATTGCTCTGGAGTGCTGAGCTGGAACTTTTCTTTAAACTTTTTGAGCAAAAATGCAAGTTGGGCATGGTTGTAAGGAGAGGGTTAGCTGTTTAGAAGTCATAGACACCTGAGTTTGAATACCAGTTCTTCTAAGCTGTATAACTATGATCAAGTTACTTAACTTCCCTCAGATTCTGTTTGCTTAGCCTATAAAATATAAATAGTTATTGTAACTAACATTTATTGCACTCTAAATTTTTTACATGACTGATCTCCCTTAATCTTCAAAACAGCACTGTGAAATAATTACACTGTTCTATTACTATCCCAGTTACACTTAGAAAACTGACACAGGCTTGTAAATCAGTTTGCCCAAGATCTCACACTTAGAAGGTAGCAGGCTAGTCCTTAAACTCAAAACACCGTAGGAAAGAAAAACTATGAATCTATGCAGCTGTCTATCTATACATCTTTCTTATTTTTATGTAAAATCGGATGAATGGACACCATTATCAATTTTTAGGTTTGGCTAATAGAATGAATTGAATGAATATATTTAATATCTTTTTATTTTACTTTATTTTTCTTAACGATTTATTTATTTATCTGAGAGAGAGAGAGTGCGCACAAGCAGGAGGGGCAGAAGGAGTGGGAAGCTCAGGCAGACCCCATGCTTCCTGTGGAGCCCGACAACAAGGCCCATCTCACGTCCCTGAGATCAAAAACCTGAGCTGAAACAGAGTTGGACGCTTAATCGACTGTGCCCCCAAGGCACCCCGATAATATCTTTAAAGGGTTTCCTGACAGTCACCCTAGAGTGTCATCAATAAAGCTAAGCAAACAATGTTTGTCAGATAAAGACAGTCGGTAGTAATAAGAGCACACTCTCTGAAAAAGCATCTGCTCAGTGATTGGAATACTGCGGCATCTTGAAAAGAGTCCCTGTCACTCCCGTTTCATGGTATGTTCCCCAATATTAGTGTGTGGCTTTGAGAATCACAAGAATGAGGGCTGCAAGACAGTTGCAGGTTCCGTAAGGAAAGGTCCTTTGCATGCCTGGCTGGGTCAGGATGGTAATGATCTGGGAGAGATGACAGCCCATTTCTCTAGTTCCTGTGTGGCTGGATGAAATATCTGATCAAAGTTGCTTAGGAAATCCCCAATAAGGCCCATCTGTAAGCACAGTCTGTTCAGGAAACAGGAAGATTTTACTTACTTTGAACCTCCACAGCCCTCCAATATCTTCAGTCTGCTCAAAGCAAGTGGGCACCAGTCCCTCGTCCACACAGCACTTCAGAGAGACCAGGCCACTGACCCCAGCTCCAATCACAGCCACCTTCTTCTCCATGGTCTTCTGTTAAGGAGTGGATCAATCAGTATTGTTTCGCTGGGACAAGAGGTTAAGAAAGCCCTCACGGTGTGGTCAGTAATTAGCTTGAAACTGTAGCAGTAAGTATAATAAGTAGCAATAACTTAATAAATCACCTCACTAGTCAGGTCACAATTTGCTGCAGACTTTGTTTATGATGTCTCGGTTTAGTATTTAAAACCAACCCATTTAATAATGCCAAACCATTTAATAACAGCCGTAGGAGCCAAATCTCATTACAGTCTTTGGAGTCCTGAGCTTTTGCTTACCTTTCTTTTGCCTTTTGGTGCTGTCCCTTCTACAGGATAGTTTTCTCTGTTGGGTGTGGGCTCAGAGGCAGTCAGAGTGCTTTAAATGTTGGGGGAGGCCCTGAAAAATGGGAGGAGCTTCCTGCTCCTTCAGCGTTTTGCAAACTGAAACTCCCTAGCCTTCCTTAGGAGTTCTGAGATTAAGCGAGAGGCTTATGTTCTGAGGTCCAGGGTGGTGATCTTTACAGCGACACCATCATACACTTACACATATCATATGCATAGTATAAAAACCTTTTTATAATGGAGGTGACCAATGTTCATCAACCAACCTGCAAATATGAATAAACATACAAAGAAGTTAAAATTATCCCTAACTCCACCATACAGAGATAATTATAACCAACATGGATATTTTGGCATATCTTTCCAGACATTTGTCTGTCTACACATATACACACCTGAACAAAAATGGAATGACACTCTGTTATTCTCAATTTGATTTTTCACTTTCTAGTATATCAATATCTTTTATATCTATAGCAACACTTTAAAGGTTCGTGAATTCTATTTAGTTGATGGGTTAGTTATCTGTCTAAAAAATATTCGTTACTCTGAGTTAGGCATCATTTTTGGCATATGATTGTGCCCAGATGAATGAAACAGATTATGTTCCTGGTCTCCTAGAATTTACATTCCTGCTCTGGCCTGGCTGTCTTAAACTTGACAACATCTGGATCTGTGCATGCCACCGTCAATGTTCCTAGATTGCTTACCCTGCCCAGACCTATATCTCATCTTGGTGTTTCTGCTTGTGTGTGTACTGGTTGAGATGAACCTCTGGGACTACCAAGATCTTCCTGTCCATTGACCTCTTTTTGACTTGATATAGAAATGACTTATTTTTCATAATTAAAACTTCTATTTTGGATAATTTCCTTTTGCTTATAATCTCAGTTATTAACACTAACATTAATTAAGAAGCCTAAATCAAGGAGATTGAAAACCTTTGTGTACCTTGGATATTGTCTTAACGAGAGATAACGGATTTTTTTTTTTAAAGATTTTATTTATTTATTTGACAGAGAGAGATCACAAGTAGACAGAGAGGCAGGCAGAGAGAAGGAGGGAAGCAGGCTCCCTGCCAAGCAGAGAGCCCGATGCGGAACTCGATCCCAGGACCCTGAGATCATGACCCGAGCCGAAGGCAGCGGCTTAACCCACTGAGCCACCCAGGCGCCCTGAGAGATAACGGATTTTGTTCTTCAACAAGACCAGTAGATCTAAGAACTCTGAGATTTTTTTTAAACATAAATTCATTCAACAAATATTTATTGAACATGTCTTAGGTATCAAACATTTTCTAAAAGCTACAGACACAGAAATGAACAGAAGAAAGAATACTCCCTACCCTCATGGAGCTTGCCTTCTAGTGAAGGGAGTCAGGTAAGCAGTTAATAAAACAGAATAAACAAGTAGAGTAGCTGGTGATAAGGGTTCAGGAGGAAAATAAAGCAGAAAAGTGAGGTCTGAGATGCAGGAGTGGAGGATAGTTTGATAATTTTTTAAAAAAGATTTTATTTTTTGACAGATCACAAGTAGGCAGAGAGGCAGGCAGAGGGGGAGGGGGAAGCAGGCTCCCTGCTGAGCAGAGAGCCTGATGTGGGCTCGATGCAGGGCTCCATGTGGGGCTCAATCCCAGGACCCTGAGATCATGACCTGAGCCAAAGGCAGAGGCTTTAACCCTCTGAGGCACCCAGGCGCCCCTAGTTTGATAGTTTTAAATAGGGTATTCAGGAATCATTATTTTTCTGAAATTTCCGCATTTGAATTGGATCCTGATAAAAGTCTTTCTCTGTCAAATAGAGCAACTCCATGACAAGAGTAAAAGACACAACAAAGATGATCAATGACCACAGAATTAAGGAGCTTTAAAAGAAAGAAAGAAAGATCCATTACCTCACCCATCTATGTTACCTCACCCATCTACCTGGTTTGGGCCCTGCAGTCACTTCCCTGAGCCATTCCTGGAAGAGTCCAAGATCCCTCAATTATGGCTACTCTCATAAGAACAATGTATATATCAACTGTCATATCTCTTCCTCCTTTAATTTTAACTTTCTATTTATTTCAACAGAAAATTTCCTCTTAAGACCATGTTTCTTAAACAACACAGTAAGCCACCTAGACTGAACAGACATGTACAAAACACTCCATCCAATGAAAAGAGCATAAGTGTTCTTCCCAAGTCTACATGGGACATTCTCCAGAATAGAGTATATGTTAGGCACACATTAAGTCTCAACAGATTTAAGAAGATAAATGTGATACAAAATATCTTCTCGTTAGAGAAGTTGTGGTTACACAATGGGTGGTTACACAATGGGATGAATTTAGAAATAAAATAAATAAAACCGGAAAATTCACAAAATTATGGAAATCAACACATTTTAAACAACCAGTGGCCCAAAGAAGAAACCACAAGAGAAGTTAGAAAATACTTAGAGACAAATGAAAATAAAACAACATACCAGAACTTATGGGACACAGCAAAAGTGGTGCTAAGGGGGGAATTTATAGCTATAGATGCTTACATTAAAAAATGAGAAAGATCTCAAATCAACAACCTAACTTTATAACTTAAGGAAGTAGAAAAGAGAAGAACAATCTAAACCCAAAGCCAGCAGAAGGAAGGAAATAATAAAGATTAGAGCAGAAATAAATGAAATATATATGAAATAAGAGAATAAAAACAGTAATGAAAATCAATGAAACCAAAAGTTGGTTCTTTGAGAAGATCAACAAAATTGACAAACATTTAGCTAAATGGACTAAGAAAGAAAAAGAAAGACAAGAAGAGAGAATACTCAAATTACTAAAATCAGAAATGAAATGAGGGATTACTATATATTCTACAGAAATAAGAAAAATTGTAAGATAGTGGTATGAACAATTGTGTGGGAAAAAATTGGATAACCTAGATGAAATGGACACATTTCTTACAAACAAAAAAGCTACCAAGTGTAAATCACAAAGAAATAGAAAAATGGACATCAGAAAAGAAAAAGAAAAGCCTAGGACTTGACGGCTTCACTGGTGAATTCTACCAAACATTTAAAGAACAATCCAATCCTTCTCCAACTTTCTTAAAAAATTGAAGAGGTGGGAACATTTCATAACTTATTCTATGAGGTCAGAATTACCCCAAATACCAAAGCCAAAGACACTACAAAAAAAGAAAACTACAGATCAGTATCCTTTATGAATATTGATGCAAAAATCCTCAATAAAATACTAGCAAATAATTCAGAAGCATATTAAAAGGATTATACTCTATGATTAAGTGGGATTTATTCCCAAAATGCAAGTATGGTATAGCATGTTCAAAATGATCAGTATAACAGACCACATCAAAAAACAAAGGAGAGAAAACATGATTATCTCAGTTGATGCAGAAAAAATATTTGACAAAATTCAACACACTTTCATGACAAAAACACTCAAAAAGATAGGAGTAAAAGGAAACTATCATCACGTGTCAAAACTGTGTATGAAAATCCTATAGCAAACATAATACTCAACTGTGGAAGACTGAAAGTTTTCCCTCTAAGATCAGGAACAAGGCAAGGATGCCTGTTTTCACCACTTCTGTATAACATAGTACTGGAAGTTCTAACCATGGCAATTACTTAAGGAAATAAAAGACATATGAATAGTTAAGAAGTAGAATTATTTTTATTTGTAGATGATATGATCTTACATATAAAAAAAAGTCCTAAGAAGTCCACAAAGAAATTGTTAGAATTGATAAATGAATTCAGCAAATTGTAGGATAAAAAGTCAACACACATAAATCAGTTGCTTTTCTGTATACAAGCAGTGAGCCAAGGAAATGACAAAAGGAATGACAAAAGCAATTTCATTTATAATAGCATCAAAAAGAATAAAATAACTACAAATCAACCAAGGAGATGAAAAACTTGTACAATGGAAATTATAAAACGTTGCTAAAAGAAATTACAGAGGACATAAATAAATGAAAACACATCCCATGTTCATGGATTGGGAGGGATTATATTGTTAAATTCCAGTATTACCAAAGTAATATGCATATTCATTGCCATTCCTACCAAAATCCCAATAAACATTTTTTGGAGAAATAGAAAAACCCATACTAAAATTTGTATGGAATCTTCAAGGGACCCTGAATAGTCAAACGATCTTGAAAAAGAATAAACCTGGAGGACTTAAGTGTCCTGATTTAAAAACCTACTACACAGCTATAGTAATCAAAACAGCATGGTATTGGAATCACTAACTCATTAAAAAAAAACCAAAAAGGAAAAAACTAAGATAGTTACCAGCAGACCCACACTGAAGGAAAATCAAAGTTCTCTGGCCAAATGAAATGATCCCAGATGGAAGCATGGAAATACTGAAGAATGAATAGGTAAATATGTGTGTAAGAATATTGACGGCATGAAGCAACAACCAAAATGTCTAATGAGGTACATGCCAAAAGCACTAAAAAAGGTATTAGGGTAGTAAATAAATTCAAAGTGTTATATAGAACTTTCATTGACTTTAAGAAGCCAAAGATGCATAATGTGGTCCCTAAGGAAACTCCTAACAGAATAGTAAAAGACAACAAACGAGTTAATGGAAAAGGAAGGATATATTTCATTAATTCAAGAGTAAGTGTAAGAGGAGAAAAGGAAAAGTAGAACAGGTGAGGCAGATCGAATATAAATGGAAAAATGGTGGACTGAGAGGTTAAATGAAAGTGATAAAGTATTCCAACTAAAGACAAAAATTGCCAGACTACATTTTTCAAACAGAAGAGCTGGGGACTCAGAAAAAAGATGTTTGAGGAAATGGCAAAAATTTATTTGGGAATTAAGACTAGGAAGAATGCTGGGATATGGTGGACTGTGAGAATAAACATACTCTTCTAAAGACTTTGAAGTTTGTTCTGTCAGTTAGAATTAATCTTGGAGCAAATACTCCTGGTCCCAGTCTCTGTGCTAGAAGGTGATGGGTAGAAACAGGAAAAACTAGTTCAACTGTTACAAAAATT